TCATTTCGCATACCCTTATGGCATCTTCTCGGTTTTTTTCTTCATTATAGAAAACCAATGTTTGGAAGGCAAACTGTACGTTTGGTTCGTTCCAGACACGATCATAATTGTCTAAAGGTCATTGGTGACGCAACGGCTAACAGATAAATTCTATTGAACTTAAAGTTAAACACATATTTCTAAATGATGCACTAAAATTGGATGTACTTAAAAAGATAAAGAATGATACTTCTATACTTATGGGTTATAGAAAGTGGTCAATACATGAATTACCGTCCTTACCTCATAATGCCACGAAAAAATATGGTCAGTAAAGACAAGTTCGGCAATAGAAGTTCCAAGATTTGTTATTGTTGCCTTTCAAACAGCCAGAAAAGATGTTGCAAAAGCGGATAAGCACATATTAGATAACGCAAATCTTACAACCATACTATAAAGTTAATGATTAATTCGGACTATTATCCTCATGAAGATATGAAGTTAGATTTTAAAAATAAAATATATGGAAACTCATCATATGTATTCGCAATTTGCCAAAACGTATTCAAATGATAACGATAAACACGGATTACTTGACTATTCTACATTCAAAACTCATGCTATATTTGTTATTGATTGTTCCAAGCGAAGCGAAGATTTAAAGTCATCCACCGTAGTCGTGTGTCGTTCGCGAACGAGTCGTTCAAAATGAACGACTCTTCGACAATGTCAGTTGTCAATGGTGACAATTTTGAATGAAATTTGAATCTTTGAATGTTTTATAATTTTTATAATAATACATTTTTGTGTAAGTTAAGAGTCAAGTCAATTTAATGGGAGTGTTAAAAAATGTAAGTGAAATATTTATTCAGTTTTACTAACGGTTTATAAATTTAAAAGGTAAGTTAAATCTTTCACTTAACAGTGACTTGAACAAGTTAAAATTTTTAGTTTTGAGCTTTTTCATGTCCATGTCATAGAGATAATTTATATTAAAATTTTGGATAGGATCTTTAAAGTACTTATACCCTTTAGCTGCCATATTGATAATTAGTAAAGAAAAAAATAGAGAAAAATAAATTTAATGAAATATAAGGAATATTGAAAATATACCTGCAACATAATATATTTACAAAAAACAAACTGTAATTAGGAACCATATTTTATTAAACTTGAATATCAATTCATAAAAAACAAAATAAAACATACATCAAACAGAAACTTAATCACAGCCTGAATGCTTGCAATAAAATAACCTATCAAACAGATAAAAAAAAAAAATAAATGTACCAAACATAAAAACTTATTCACAGAAAGTAATGACTTAGGAACATTATTTTAATAAATAAATGAAACTAAAAATATGACTTTTTCACAAAAAATAATTTACATATTTCAATAAACAAGTTGTAGAAATATATTAAACAAAAACTTAATCACATCTTTGGTATGCATTTGAAGTATAAAAATAATCATCACAAATTGGAATTCCAAAAGAGTAACATGGAAACTTTTTGTCCTTGACGACTGCTCCTTTTTTCTGTAAGAGTTTGACCAGCTTTAGAAAATATCCTTTCACTGGGGACTGAAGTAGCTACTATGCTTAACCTACTTTTCATAAGCACATATAGTCTGGGATATACATGTTTCCTTTGTTCCCACCACATGAATGGGTCACAATCTCTCTGCAATAATGGCTCATCTAGATATTTTTCTACTTCTATAATTCCAGCTGTTAAAGGATTAACACTAGACACCACATTAGCAATAGCCCAATCAAAAGATTCCCATATAGCTGATTTTGTAGTTTTTTTGGTTAATTCAACTCCATCTGTTTGAATCTGCTCATCATTTCTCTTGGTGACTTCACTTGATGATGGCGTATTCCTGGTGACATAACTAATTAAATTTTTTTTTGCACATTCGAAAGCTGTTTTACTATCAAATCCAAATTTTTTAAGTCGTGGATCCAAAATTGTTGCTTCAGCAAACATTTTGTTGAATTCTATATTGCTAAACCTTTTTTGTAAAGACGATAATAGAGCCTCAGTCAGCTGTTTACACTCTTCTGGAATTTCTGGATTATCCACCAGAAATTTCCTACAATATTTGAAAGTGAATTGCTAAACAATATAATTTTTGAAACAGTCACCTCTTTTTCTGACGAAATTTCGTCTGTTACTTCCTTGAACACTTTTAATATCTGACAACATATTTCCAAAATTTTCATGTCAGTGTTTGATAAATTTGGTAGGTTCTTGTAATGTATTGCAATTACTGACATCAATGGTTGTTTTATTTCTAGTATGCGCTTGAACATGTCAAATGTGGAATTCCACCTTGTAGCCACATCTTGCTTCACTTTTAATTCAGGAAGCCCGTGTTGAATTTCCATTCGTTTTAATTTTTCAGTAGCTTGTGGGCTACGCCTAAAAAAATCAACTATGGTTTTTATTTTTTGTCTAAAACTGTGTATCTTTTCTAAAGATGATTGCACCACTAAGTTAATTATATGTGCAAAACAAGGAATGTGGTTCGAGCCAGTTTTCTTCACAGCTGCTACTATATTTGCCCCATTATCAGAAACAATGGCAATTATTTTCTCATGTGCAATTCTCTTGAGTCCTTCACATAAATTTACAGCTGTATGCCTCTCAGTGTAATTATAGCACTCTAATAAGTTTGAGTTAATCTTATTAGAATGTAAATAGTGGGCTGTGATGGCCAAATAACTTTCATTTGATGCTGATGTCCATGCATCAGCTGTTAAGCAAACACATTCCGCTGACTGTATTTTATCGAACTCCTCCTCTCTTGTTTTATTATAATATTGAGGTACCAATGCTTTTGATACAGTTTTTCTACAGGGGAGTGAGTAGACAGGGTTCAATTCTTCAATAAACTGCTTAAAATCCTCACTTTGCACAATTTGAAATGGTAGATATTGTTTGGAAATCATTCTGACCAGACACCGGTTTATCTCATCTTTCTTTTTCACTGGCACAGGTTCATAAAAAAAATAATTCATATTCAAAGTATGTTGTGTTTTAGTTGCTACATGAAACGCTGTTATGTTTCCTGATTGCTGGTTACTGGAACTAAAGGTGGAGGGTTTAGATGGACTGGCTTCTGATAGTTGATTTTCATCTCTTACTGATGAACTCTGGCCGCCCTTCCTACATACACTGTCTACGGAACCAGGATGCTTTGTTTCAAGATGTCTCATCAAATTATATGTTCATCCTCCCCTAAATGATAAGATTTGAGAGCAAAACTTGCATTTTGCTCTAGAACCCGATAACTCCTCAAAAGCTGACCAAACATCACTTTTTTTTTTGAAGACATGATATGATAATATGATATAATATGCTTTACAATATCGTTACATTCCGTGAGTGAGTACCATCACAAAAGTGGTAAGAGTAGCAGCTAGCAGCACAGAGCACAGCACAAAACATGTGAGAAGTGAGTGAGCCGTGAGTCATTACACGAAAACACTCGTCATTCGAGGTCGGTCGGGAAGCGTGTCGGCCGTGTCGTTCAAACGAACGACTCCGAACGAACGACTCACTGAAGAGAGATGAACGCAGTGAGCGAGCTTAGGGAAAAGAGTCGTATGTCTCAGGCCTAGTCCACCGTTGATGTAAAGCTGGAATTTGAATCCGCTGAAGGTTTTCCCGCTGATACTAGAACTTACTGTATTATAATTCATGATTCTGTGATAGAGTATTTACCGCTAAGCGAAATTGTTCGCAAACTAATTTAAATGTAACGTACTAGCAGTCGAAGCTCTCAGTAAGTCGTGGTGCCTAGTACTAGAATCATCTTAATCGGTTACGCGATGAAAATAGCAGCAGTAAATGTTCAAGGGTTCAACTTTCCAACTGGTTTTTACCAAAGGAAGTCTCGATTTCGATTGGTAACCAGATAACTCACTATATTTTTAAACCAGTGTCACCGTTTTGTTTCTTAAGTACAAACGGTAAAGTGTAAGTGCGATGGTTGGAAAAAAATTATCATGGCTTGAAATATTCCTCTGGATTCTTCGAACAGCACCAATTGAAGGATATAATCAAGTCGCATTTATCAGACGTTGATTTTGTATACGTCAAAGGACATCAAAAACTAATTTTGTTATCTTCCCTTCGTGATGAGGAATTCCAACCAGAAATCGTAAACTTAGAAGATGTACTCCAGACCAGTCTAGATGTCTTGAACTTCAATAAAAATAAACCTCGATGTCTACATCACAGGTTGAGACTATGTATGTGTGCTTTAAGAAACTGTTCTGAACTTCACGAGTGGCTTCTTGCGTTAATGAGAAGATAGTTGTCAGTCATCCTTGCAACAAGATGAATCACGCTACAGCAGCCGCTGCCATAGATGCCTATCTAAGAAAATTACATGAACTCAAAAAATGTATGAACAAAAATAAAAATGATTGTTAGCTTTAGAAATATTCATATTCGTAACAATGTACCAAATTAAGGACCCAAATTGTGTGACTATTGAATATATTTACAAAATAAAAGTCTTACGGTAATTATATTGTTTTATTCAATCGTTAATGTTATCGAACTTACAAAATGAACTAATAAATATGAAGCTGAAAGTAAAATCATATGGTGCATTATATCAAATTTCTTGTCCGTCTTCTTTCCCATTCCATTCAATAGCTTCTGCATTCGTTTAGCCTAGTCACAATTTTTTGAGAATTTTAGATGATCCTTAATAGGACAATCGTCATCCTTCCATTTGTATATTATTATCCCACAACAAAACGCTTGGCAAATATCTTCACTTCCAACATAAAAAAAACCTGCTGCTGCTAGCACTGCAGGATTAATGACTCCAGTCCATCCTTTTTCAAATGTACTGATACGTTTATCATACGAATTGTATTCACTAAAATCTATAGAATATTCTTCAGCACACATATTCAAACAGCGCAGCGGTGCGATTAGTATTATTCTGTATTGTATAGGTGTATATTATCATTTATATATGACACATATATCATAAAACACTCATACTTCGAAAGTCACATGACATACGTTAACAAATTCCTAGTAGTTCACTTTCCTTATTAGATAGTTATGTTCAGTCGTAGCCACGCTGTGTTCGCATCAACTAGTTACCATGGAAGAAAATTCTGCACAAAATCTGGAATTGACACATAATTATGTACATTCAGTACGTTATATTATCCTGGTTATATAAACATATACATTAGCTGATCTATACATTTTTTTTTGTAGGCGGATAGTTTTGATATGGATGAATTCTTAATCGGAAATGATATTTTTAATAATTCAGCCACCATTGATGTATCGTCAACAGCTCCTGCAAATCGTAATGCTGGGAAGGATATACGACAGTTGGTAAACAATTATATTGAAGAGCAAAGCAGTCCTACAGATGATACGGTTATTCTGACTCACAAAAAACATGTGAACAACGATGAACTGCGCATAATTGGAGGTTATCTACGAAAAGTCAACAGGCTATGCGAAAAGAAATTCACCGAAATTTCAAGAAAATTAAACAAGGAACGTAAAAGACTTCAAACGCTGAAACAAAAAGAACGTACTCAGTTACAAAAAATTAAGAGACTGGAGGAATGTGAGAAATTTGCATCCAAAATGATTAAGCGTCTGAAAATATCTTCAGATTACTGAGTACTATATATATATCTACATACAATGTAATCTTTGCAATCATCAATCAACCACTGAACAGTGAACATTTACCTTAATACAATAATGACGTCACACACTAATAATCAAAGAGTAATAAAAGTTCTCGACTTCACTGTTCCAGTTCAAGAAGATGGAACATTTTACATATACGAAATCTATCAGCACGACAAGATCGTGCTACAAGAATACCCAGCGTTCTATTACGATGGCACGCCAGGTGGCTTGCCATTTGGTACAGAGATTAAAAACGAAGACAACCGAACTATAGGGTATGTGATCGGACATCACTTACATTATTATCCTATAATGACGATGAAGACAACTTATTACATTGCGGTAGATATGGACTGCACAAGCTAGTCGGTCATGGAGGAAAACTAGAGTATCGAGATCAAGAGTATACAGTGGAAGAATTTAAGAAAAAGTTTCCCAGAATAGCAAAACAAGATGTACAATGTTTTGGTTATGCATAACGTACCTCAAAATAAAGATAGATAAACTCTTTACAGCGTATCGCTTATTCTTACCCCTATCCCAAAATATTTACCGCAAAACATGAAATGAGCCACACCACTTAACGCATAGACGTGCTTTCCTATCTATTATGTTGAAAAATATCCCTACCCCAAAGTTCACAACGCAAACTTACCCGCGCATCACCTACCACGAACGCCACAAACGCTATCTACACACCCGTAGTACGCCTATGACGTGTTGACTATTGAAATCATCCTATATGCATCGTTTCCGCGAATTTTGTAATACGAAGGTTTTTTCCATTTCAACTGAATCCGCAGAATTGCATCTATAATTACCATTATTCATCGGCTTTTATCGATCTATATGCAAATATTTACTGCAAAACATGAAGTGAGTCACATCACTTACGCATAGACGTGTTTACCTATCTATTCTGTTGAAAAATATAACTCGATAGTTTTCAATTGAAGGATGTATGACTATGTACCTCTTCCTAATAAAAAAAAACAAGCGATACTGACTATTAAAATTACATAACATATATATATAGTTGTTGAGCTTGATTATTTCCATTATTTGTTACCACCCACCCCCGCCCCTCCAAAGTACACAACGCAAACTTACCCGCGCATCACCTACCACGAACGCCACAAACGCTATCTACACCCCCCGTAGTACGCCCGCGCCAGCACCAACCAGAACGAGCCCCATGCACATGCGCATGCGCACGCGCGAGTTATGTATCCAACCGGATACGGTAACCGGAGACCGTACTGGAGATGAAAATCCTTCTGATTCGTCTGACCCTTATGTAAGTCAATTCCATTTTTCCTATGAGTTCCGAGTATCCACAGGATTCTTTACAAGCTGTTATTTCACCTAGTACTCGAAGAATTTCAAAAGAAAAGTCTAGATTTAAGCCATATTCTACTCCCTCTCTCGAAAATATTTCTACCGAACAATTAAGTACCTCTGCCTTAGAAACTACTACAGAAAACCCAAACATGGTTCTCTCAAATTCGGATATCAATAATCTGTGTAATACCTTGCCAGAATACAAAGTGGGTGAAAATCTATCTACTTTTATCAACTCTGTAGATAATTTGGTAATTTTTTTTCTCAACAAGGTGCGGATGCTATCCAAACCTACATCATAAATGCTAATATATTGTCTAAGGTAAAAGGCGAGGCTCGTGATTTTTTAAATCTTCACAATCAAACTCAGTGGGCTGAGATAAAGCTACTTTTATTGCAGAAATATGGTGATCATCGCACCGAGGAAATTTTATTAACCCAACTCACAACCACAGTCCAAAAACGATCCGAATCGTATCATTAATATCACCACCGAGTAACACTAGCATTAAATGATATTCTTCAGCATGTTTCACTTCATGAAAGTAATCCACAGGCAGTTGAGTTTAAAGCTTCATTCTTTAGAAATCAAGCACTTAGAACCTTCTGTACTGGTATAAATAATCCATATTGCAACCACCTATCTCATTACGATTTATCTTCGTTAGACGAAGCTCTTCAGAAATGTATTTCTTTAGATAACCATAAGCAACAACAGCAATATATGTCGTATCTGAAATCCTCTACCTACCCCAATGAGTATCAAAAGCCACCACCACGTCCCATTCAACGTAATGCCCACGCTATCACTCAACCGAGTAATCGAAATGCATTACCCAATTTTCAGTCTTCGATTCAACAGAATCCATCTAATGGTACCCAACATTTTTTTCAACAGCCCCGCTTCCAATCGTTCACACCTAACAGAACATTTGGTGATATAAATCGGCCCATACCTCAACGTCAAAATCCTCCTACTAACAGAGAAGTATTCGGTCCTTCTCGTCCAAATAATGTACCGAATAATCAATACAAGCCCAGTCCTATGTCAGTAACGCAGACTACTAGTCGTAAACCAACTCCGATGTCCACCTCCACTCATAATAGTCGTACTTTTCATCATAATGTAGAGTGTGACCCAAATTCCGTCACATATTCTGACAAATGTTGTAATCACGAATATTATGACACATATAAAGACCAACAAGCCTATTCCGAAAATTTTCAAGGGCCTGCCATTCAGGAACCGCCCGATATCGAACCATCCAATTAAATAACTTTTCAAAACACACCAAGCTACCCTATTTCTACCTACCCCATTCCAATTTGAAAATTTTGATCGACTCCGGTGGATCAGATACAGTTATTACCCCAAGAGCTGCTAAAATTTATGACCCTGAACATGAATTCTATGAGCCCTTCACTCTTATCTCCATGAAAACTCCGAAAACGTATACTCGAAATTTATATTACCCTGTACTAAATGAAATAGGTATTCATACACCTCTTATAGTCAAAATTGCAGACTGGCATGATGATTTTGATATTCTTCTCGGAACTGGTGAACTTGATCAATTGGGTGCAAACATTGACTATGAGTCTCACATATTTTCTGTCCGTAAACTAGGTATCGAAATTCCTTTTAAAATAATCTATCGTACAAATAATCGGTTATCTATTCCTGTATCCGTCAACAATGGTGAAGTAGTTGTCCCGGAAATCATCCATGAAGGTCAGGTTATCTTACCAGAATCTATACATTATGCTAAAGATGGTTATATCGATATTCCTAAGCCAGAAAATTTGGAAATTGATTTTTCTCAAACTGTCTCTGCCACATATCTCTCAGAATTTGAGGAAGAACTTCCTAAGCAGTCTTCTAGTACCTCTTTCAATAGTAGTATGATTCGAACTCAACACTTGAACTCTGAAGAAAAAGAAAAAATTCTCCGTTTCCAGTCTGGATTGTTCCCAAAAAAGCAGACGCATCCGGAAAGAAAAAGTTTCGCATGGTAATCGATTATCGGAAGCTCAATGACAATACAGTGGAAGAAATATCCAATTCTTACGATAGATGAAATTCTGGATAATCTTGGCAGGTGTACCTATTTCACAATTCTTGACCTAGCCCAAGGTTTCCATCAGATACAGGTCCATCCAGATTCTGTGGACAAGACCGCTTTCACTGTCCCAAATGGACATTTTGAGTATTTGAAGATGCCTATGGGGGTCCGTAATGCTCCTATGACCTTCCAAAGGATGATGGATGAAGTTCTCCGAGACCACCTCTATAAATCATGTTTTGTTTACATGGACGATGTCATCATATTTTCTAGGTCCCTTCAAGAACATCTCATACACATCAAACAAGTCTTTCAAAAATTCCGTGACACAAATCTAAAAATACACTTGACAAGTCAGAGTTCCTGTGCAAAGAAGTTGCATTCCTTGGCCACATAGTGACCCCAGAGGGTATAAAGCCCAATCCTAGTAAGATCCATGCAGTTCAAAATTATCCCATTCCCAAATCACGAAAAGAAATTCAAAGCTTTCTTGGCTTAGTCGGCTACTACCGACGCTTCATTCACAATTTCTCCAAAATAGTCGCTCCTATGACACGTTGTACACGAAAAGGAGAAAAATTGACATAACCAATCCGTTGTACATAGAAGCTTTCGAAAAGTGCAAATCCGCAATTAGCAACTCCCCCATACTCCAATACCCAGATTTTTCAAAACCGTTCACTCTTACCACAGATGCTTCAGGTGTTTCCATAGGTTCAGTTCTATCTCAAGATGGAAAACCCGTTGCTTACTACTCTCGTACTCTTAATACTGCTGAAAGAAACTATTCGACCATTGAAAGAGAGCTCTTAGCGATTTTAGATTCGTGCAAACATTTCCGCCCTCATCTGTATGGTGTTAAATTTACTGTCGAAACTGACCATAATCCCATCGTTTGGTTAGAGAAAATTAAAGAACCTCACTCTCGTTTAGTTCGTTGGAGACTCAAACTGGAAGATTATAATTTTGACGTAAAATATAAAAAAGGCAAGGAGAATGTTGTAGCTGATGCCCTATCCCGCATAGAAATTAATATGCATGAAACTGAATCCGTGATTGCTAATCCCCCTTCAGAGTCTTCGGACGATGAAATATTTGATCTTGACGAATTTGTGAATCAATGCTTTAATAAAGAAACTGGCCAATCTACCCAACATTCATCAGTTGAACATCCTGTTGCTACTGTCCCATTTTCTGAAGAGCCTATAAATTACTTCACTAACCAAATTATAATAAAAATTGGAGACAAACATTCTATCAGGTATTCATTGAAATTCAAGTCTAAACATCAACATTTGGTCACCCTTGTCCAGCAAATTGGAAAGACGGCGTAAAAACAGCACTTCACGACATAATTGCCCCAAATCAACGTTATTATATTCTTACAGACAATACCGACATCCAAAAATATATCGCTGAGTATGTTCGAAATGCCTACAATGACACCATCCAAATTTTCTTTTGTTCCAAGCGTGTTCAAGACATAGACGATCTTGAAGCTCAAGTTCAATGTGTTCAAAATTATCACAAAAATAATCATAACGGCATTGTCGAAACCATCAATCAGTTAAAACTTAAATA